GAAGCAACAGATCCATCTTGAAACTTGCAAACTATTTATACCAAGTAATGACATACCCACCAATGCACAAGACGCACCAAGGTTATATCAGTCCAGTAGGAATTGAGTACTATTAGATCCAAGCCTCCAAGGACAGAGATTTTGCTGATGTCAGATGGCCTATATTAATAGGACTCTTCATTTACCTCAAGTAATTTGGGTCGACTAAATGACACTCCGACAAATTCTGGACACTCTACAATTTATTTTGGACCAAAAACATGAAAACTAGGTGGCCACATCTATGCAAGCATATAGGCATGTAGCTGAATCCATAACCACACAATTAATATCAATGTTATGCATCTTGCAAAAAACACAATAAAGCATATAGCACAAAGCAAGACAGTCATGAATGTGTTAACTACGCATTACCATCTCCATTAAATTCAGAAGCACCGAAACAGCTGGCTCTTGCAGGTACCGTTTCTTGGATGCCAGAGCGATAAGGTGACTTGTAAAATCTTTGATGTAAGGAGTATTTCTATCAGAAATCCATTCTTCCTTCAGTCTACCTGACCTTGCAATGGCACCGTAAGCAAAAAGACGACCCAACAGACAATCCCTTACCTCCTGGAGTGTGCAACAAACACAATATATGTAAATATCGGTTATAATAATAATAATAATAATAATAATAATAATAATAATAAGAATAATAATAATAATAATAATAATAATAATAATAATAACCAGAACCAGGCTCAGCAGCAACCAAAATCAAGGAGTGCATTTTCTACCTGGCCTTTCATTGAAGAAGTGACCTCCAATGAATCAACTATCAGCTTTAGAACAGAATCAACTCTGATCTTAGAATTTGTATTGACTAAAATTGTCAAACCTAAAGCAAATCCTTGTCTTGCACACTGCACCAAAAAAAATTATCACTTTAGATGATGACTACATGTAAGAGATGCAACTTGGTTCCACCTAAAGATCACCCATAAAAAATTAAACTTTAAGACCATCAAGAGCAAGAAAACAATTCCTATGTAATTCACTTCTATCATTAAATACAGCTACAAGGAAGGGAATAATCTCCCTGATAACTGGCACCACAAAGCAACTAATCATTGTAAAGCAAAATTTGCAAATTTCCCAGCCTCCAAAGTTCAGAAGCCAGAGAGACAATAAAAAATTAATCAGTTGTACCTCTCTTGACGAAGACACACCACGAATAAGCCTTCTAACAGCATATTGTACAGGTTGTGCACAGTTATCCAGGCCATCATCCTTTGCAGCTTCCAATTGAAGGCCACCTTGAGCAGCATCATTACTTCCACTCTGTCCATAAGCCTTCTGAATTTCCTGCAACTCGACCGCCAATTTCTCAGCAGCAGCTTCTCTTTTAGAAGCATCAGCTGACGCCAACTCAGTAAAAACCTCGATATGTAACACGGGCTGACCATTTGTGGTTCCCGGGTCCTCAATTTTCGACAAAGAAGTTTGTTGAACAGGCTTTATCTCCTTGCTCTCAATAGCACTACTATGTCTCACCTTATCTAACAATTTCCTCTTCTTTCTCCTCTCCATAGGTTTAGTAGAGCTCGGAACGGGAGTCGAAGGTCCATCACTCACTCCACCTTCAGCTCGCAACTTCTTATCCTTCCCCTTCTTATTCTTCTTACTCAAACCCGTCTTTTCGTTAGAAACTTCACCTTCTACAACAACGTCTTCCCCCTCTACAGAACTAGGACCTCTCTTCTTGCTTCCCATTACAACCAACTACTTACAATTAACACTAAAACCTGTTTTAGGGAAATACCCATAAGAACTAACATCAAATTCCAACATTAAAATACCAATACTTTTGAAACAAATTACTATAAATACTGAAATGGGCATGCATTTTATGCAATTGGGTATCTAAAATTGAAATCATAAACTAATTTCACAATGCTCAGATAACAATTAGTCTATGATACCAAATTAAGCCAAAATATCTCACTTTTTAAAATAAAATTAAAAAAATAAATAAATAAATAAATCGACCAATTAACACAGATTTATGGAATAATGAAATTGAAAAACTAAACAGAAACTTGAATTGAACAAATTAGCTTACCTTGATAGAGAAAATCGGAGAGATAAACTGAAAGGCTAATAGAGAAGATATGAAAGGGTTTAAGAGTTGAAGGTGAAGTAGGGGTTTAAGGGTCGACGAATTCCGGCGTTTTTTTTTAGGTTGGAGTAAGGAAGAAAGAGAACGATTTTTTTTATTTTTTTCAGGAACGATTTTTCTTTTTTCTTTGTTTTTTTTTTTTTTTTTAAGGACTAAGGTTTTTTTTTTCTCTGAAGTGTTTAGTCATTTACCTTAAATTCTTTTTTTTTTTTTTACGGTTGTAATTAAATAAAATACTCCTTCTATTCTTATTTATTTGTTCCATATTCTATATTTGAATGTCGTTTAAAGATTGCTCAGTTTCCTTATTTGATAATACATCTCTACCATAATACTATCAACCCCACTTGCACACACTTATAAAACTTAAAGACAAGGATACCCCCAATCCACTTGCAAACTTTTGTTCAATCCTTAATAAAGAACATTTTGCCAATTGCCTATAGACCAGCACACGAAATACTGTACTCATTATTTATCACCTCACATTTTGGTCCGGGTCGGTGGCCGCAGGCTATAAACCGGATTTTGGGTCCATTGTTTACGCCTAACCCCAAGTTTTTTTTTTGGGTCGAATAACTCTTGATACAGGAATCATCTAGCATGTAAGAAGATAGGAAGAGCGCTTGAGAAAAGAGGAGTTGCTATGGCATCCTAACACCCAGTTGTTTTCTTTAAGCTTATGCCCATCTTTATTTACATTGAGTTAACCTAACGGGTTCATCTAGCGGAAAGCGAAGAATAATTACAGATCGATCATACACTCTTGCCAGTCACATGTGGTGAGTATGATTTTCATCCCTATCCCCACCCCACCACCCGTAAAACCAAGACTCATCATTCTCTGGCCACAAAGTAACAACAATTAGGTACGTGGTAAATACTATTAAATTAGGAACAAAGAGACTACCACAATATACTTAATTTGTTCAGGGTATTTCTCAAGCAAAAATTATATTCGCCAACTATTCAAGTTTAATCTCCATTTATTTTTAAAACTAATTAAACATCTCATGTTTGTCGATGCTCATCTTATACTATGATATATTTAATTATACTTTAGTAAAAATTAGGTTAGAACCCGTGCGATGCACAGCTTATATATAATCTATTCTTATAATTTGTATTTTTTTAAAATATGGATAAATATAAATAAGAATTATGCACTTTGTACAAAAATATTTGTAGTTTTATAGTTATAGATTTTCATCAAAATTATGATATAATACATGTTCAACGTCGCCTAATACATATTTCAACGTAGGAGTCCATTTATTAGTGTGTTGTTTACAATTGTTTCATTTTTTAAAGATAAATTGATAGGTTGTAGTTGTAATGTAGAAGTTTCTAATATTTTTCTAATATTCAAATTTCAAAATTGTTAAATATGGTAGCTCCACAAAAAAAAAAAAAATAATAATAAAGATGACATCATCCTTGCATTTAGGCGGGAAACAATTTATTATGTGAGTGACATGTGGACAGTGATGACGTCAACAACGTTTTGTTTCAGTAATAATTAATAGATTATTCAAAAAAATCTGTAGTAATAGTTTAAAACCATACATGTGAACATGTCTACATAAAGTTCTTTATTTTTTTGTTTACATGTTAATTAGAAACTTATACCTTGTTTTAATTCTATTGTCCTTTTTTTGACAAAATAGTGCAATATTGTACGAGTAATTAACAATTTTCAAGTTATGCATTACAAAAAAAGTATATATATATAAAAATTACTAACACACTAAATTGAGACGAATTTAATAATACCCCCACATGACTCTGATTTGAATTATACATATCCTTAAAGTGTTAAATTTATTTAAACATTGAAAATAGGACACTGAATTAAGAACAAAAAGAGACTACAAAATAATTAATTTTTTAAAAAGTATTTTATTCCAGATATGAATTTAGACCCTACGTCAAGCATTTCATGTTTGTCCGTGTATATCTTATACCAATAATATCTTTATTTTTTTTATAAAAAAAAAACTACTATTAATTTTTGAAATTATACATTTTTTTAATAAGGTAAGAAAAAGAGAAAAATTAGGAAACTCTTCGCACGAGGGGAATTCCTAATGCGACTGGAGAGTAGATAGGAATTAATGAAGAGTTGTTACAAAGACTAATGTCTGTAATATTAATAACTAAATGACCCCACATTAGCAACCCAGTTCGCCGCTCTATTTGCCTCTTGATAAACATACTTAATGTTCCAGTTGTCGAATCTGCTAAGAAGGCAGCATATGTCTGTAATGATATGCTCGATCTGCCATGGAATTGACCAAGTACTTATAACTGAGTTGATGACTAGCAAATTATCACCTTCGATGTGAATATTCTTGATCCCTTTCTCGAGAGCTAGAAGAATGACTTTGTGAAGTGAAGTAGCTTCTGCTATGAAAACCTTGGTAATGCCGAGATTGAAAGCGCGCGCTCCAATAATTGTCCCAGTGCCGTCTCTGATGATGATTCTCGCTACTACAGAGTTGTTGAGAAATGAACCAACGAAGTTGAGTTCGAATGAGTTGTTGGGTGGTGCCTAGTAGGAAACCATGATGGAGGATGGGGATGTATGATGAAGGAGAGTGGAATGGGACATCTGAATAGAATACCCCGAGAAAAAATAGGTATCATTGATAATTTTATAATAATGCCACTCATTGAAATTATACATGGAAAAATAAAATAACATCCTACATGAATGTTCTTTATAATGTATGAATCACAAAGGAATGTGTGTAAACAGGGGGGAAGTCCAACTTTACACTAAAAAGAGAGCGAAGAAAGCAATAAATACCAAAATCGGTACAGATATATTTCGGATAGATTATTCGCCAGATACGATCATTAAACCCAAATCCATATCTTCTTTGACACCGGTTCAAATTCAAATCGTGTAAAACAAGTGTAACAAAGATTACACAACCCGAAAATGAAGAGTATAAAAACCGGTTAATCGCTTATCAATTATTTTATTGAGTGTTAGGGTGATGACCTCTTAAAAAAAAAAAAAAAAAAAAGGGTATGAATGAGTTAGGTGACAGGGAGAGAAATAGTACCTTTGAAATAGTTTGATCCCCCACAAGAGAGTAAAGACATTTGTCCACAACCAAAGAAACTCAACCATGTGTCATCAGTCATCTCTATTCTTGTGTCACTATCCAATACTCATCTTTCTATATAAATTTAGCCATTATTAATCAATAAATTAAAATTAAACCTAAAACCAGTTTTATATGAACTTGAATACAATACCAGAAGCAATCCCACCCAAATTTCATAAACCCAATAGTACACTAATTATTTATTATTCTCTCTCCCTTTATTTTTCTGTTTTTACATTTATCAAAAATTGAAATTCAACCTCTTTTCTTTCTAAAATGTTATGAGTTTCTGTCATTTCTCCTGCACAACAGCTTAAAACCCATCAATTTCTCACCTGGGTAAGTTTCAATTTCCCTTTTTTTTTTTGGTTTATTTATTTATATTAAAAATGTGCTAAAAAAATGTTGGCTTTTGTTGCTTGAATTATTTCTTGTAAATGGGCTTTTTTATTTTATTTTTATTTTAATTTATAGATCCATTAATTTATTTCTCTGGGTAGGTTTGCGTTTGATTTATGGAGGTTTCCTTTGAGTAAAGTCGTGCCCTTTAATTCTCGTTCATGTTTTTTTTTTTTTTTTTTTTTTGTGTGTGTGTGTGTGTGTGCGCGATTAATTTGCATTTTTTTTGACATTGCTTTCCTCTTCAATATTTGTGCTTCGTTAAAACTCCTGCTCTCTGGGATTATTAGTCGCGTTGGTACTTGGTAGTGTAGTTTGAACTAGTAATGTAATAACAGTTTCTGATGGAGGTAGTAGTTTGATTAGTTAATGAAAGTGTTTAGAAAGGGAGTTGATTTCACATGTTTAAGGTTTAAAAGTTTTTGGCTTTTATGTAATCACCCAAAAAACGGCCCAACGTTGTTTGATTGAGCAATTCCGGCCAGTCTGTGTCCACCCGAATGTCATTTTAAACGGTTTTTTGGCAAGATATCTCGGTGAAGAGCCCCGCCCCCCATTTCGTGTCCTGTTTAGTCTTTAGAATTTTCGAGTGTGAGCCTGTGTGGTAATAACTTGCAAGTGTACAATCAGTTTACGAGGGTATGACTACTTGAGAGCAAATAAAACTCACAATGTAATAAAGATTAGAGCTTGTACCCTTTTCGAAAATTCAATCTTGAGTCTTTACTCTATTTAGCAAGCTTGTATCATTTTCAAAAATTCAGTCTTAGTCTTACACTTCACTTTAGCAAGCTTGTATATTTTTGAAAATTTAATCTCGAGTCTTTTTCTGTTTATACTTTAGCAAGTTCCTTATTGCTTATAGAACAGCTAGGAGTTGGATTGTGACATCAAATTACACAATTTATCATCATCGCCATCGGTAGATGCCTCTATTTCGATAGTAACCTGTTGACTGGTATCCGATGACGGAGTATTCAGTAATTGCTGTGTGTACTGGTATAAGATGCTATATCTTCTGATCACTAGTTTTGTTTAATTTTATTTAATTACTTGTAACTTGTTGATCTGTTGTTATTGGGTGTGAGGTCTTAGTGTGGTATAAATTGTAGGTATTTTCTAATCTGTATTGTTGTTTATTGCGAATGTAGTTCATCAAAGCTTGAGAAGATTAGCTTTATGTACTTTGAAGTAATTGGCATTTATGTACAGAGTTAGTTCTTTGCAATGAATGACTAGCTTTAATTGTAAGTTTTATGTACTTTGAAGTAATTGGCATTTAAGAAAATTAGCCTACAGACAAAACAGTGAAAGAGAAATGCAAATGGAAAATTCAAGGGCCCCACTTGGGGGGGGGGGGGGGAGGGGGAGGGGGAGAGGGGGAAGGGGAAGGGGAAGGGGAGAGGAAGAGGGGGAACAGTATCATCTCCTGTAATAATAAGGCAACAGAGGTTATGCTATGCAACAAAAGAAAGTTTGCATATAGTTTCTCTTCTTTTTTATTTAATTCTTTGTGATGATGAAAGTGTGTGTAATTTGGAGAAACACAATGCTCCGTATAAGAAATTTGTTCCTGAAAAGAATTCCTTTTTAGTCACGTGAACATTATTGCCGCCTTTCCCTACCTCCTTTTAACAACATTACAGTACTCGACAAATCTGTATTCTCACTTATCTATCACAAGGCTAGTTTGTGATTTGGAACTTTATATATTTTAACAATTTCATCTAACTAGCTAAAGTGGCATTTGGTTTGATGGAGGCCAGGAGTACTTTAATTATTTTATTAAATATATGTTTGTCTGATTGTCTGGCTGACAAGATCCATATAATTTTAAGCATGTTAAATTTTTTTGTCTTAAATGCTGAATATCTTGCTTTCATTTGGGTTTTGCAGGACAGAGTGGAGGAAAATCTGACCTGGCAATGAGCATGGCTGTTGAGGGAAGCCAACAGAGTGATGTCTCTGAGCTGAATGGGGTTGTAGTAGCTGGAGACAAGACAAATGATGATTCTGAAATTAAAAATGACGTTGTTGAGGATGAAGCTAGAGCTGTTGACAGTTTTAAGACGATATCTCCTTTGAGGTATGAGATTGATGCTTCTGAAACTAGAAACAGTGTTGTTAGAGATGACACTGAGGTTCTTGATACATCTAAACTGATTTCTCCTACTAAAACTGAGGATGCTGGGTTTGGCTTGTCCAAGTGCTCATCCACTGAAATAGTTTCTTCAATGAAAGCTGAGTGTCTTGATACTTCTAAACTGCTTTCCAACACAAATGAAGGCCATGCTGGGTTGCCCAAGTCCCCAGCCATTGAAATAGGTGCTTCAATAGGAGATGATTCTGAAATCTATAATCATGTTGTCAAGGATGAAGCTAGTGTTTTTAATGTATCTAATTTGATTTCCCCCATGGAACATGAGAATGATGTGTTTGATGTTAAGAACAATGTTGTAAGCAGTGGAGTTGAGGGATTTGATGCTTCTAAAGTGACTTCATCCATGGAAGAGGAGAATGTTGCATCTGAAACTAGAAATAATGTTGTTGTCAGTAAAGCTGAGGGTTTTGATGCTTCTAAAGTGATTCCCCCCGTGGAAGATATGAGTGATGCTTCTAAAGTGATTCCCCTCATGGAAGATGTGAATGATGCGTCTGAAATTCAAAACAATGTTGTTATTCCCCCCGTGGAAGATAAGAGTGATGCTTCTAAAGTGTTTCCCCTTACGGAAGATGTGAATGATGCGTCTGAAATTCAAAACAATGTTGTGACCAGTGGAGCTGAAGGTGTTGACGCTTCCAAAGGGTACCCTATGGATGGTGACAATGATGCATCTGAAATAGGTAACAATGTTGTTAGCAGTGGACAAGAGGGCTTTGAGAGTTCTAAAATAATTTCTCCTATAAATGATAATGGTGCTTGCCTTTCAAAGTGCCCAACAACTGGTGAAGATATGCCTCTGATCGTGGAAAATGGTAGGGAACACAATGAACCTAAAAAGAGTGCTGAGTTGAGAGAGAGAAAGAAGAGCAAATATTTGTCCCCTCCTTACGTGAACCTGAACAAGGGATCAAAAGGTTTGTCTAGTTTGAAAGAGTCTGAAACAGAAAGATCTGGTGCTCCTGAAGATGGGGAGGGAAATGCCAGTATATCTGACAAGCAAACGACGTCCCCTCCAGTTGCAAAGAGTGGAAGCAAAAAGAGAGGGAGAAAAAGCTCAAGAAAATCTCTTGTTGGTAATATACAGGATATAAGTGCACCATCAGCTAGTTTACTCTCAGAACTGCATTTGGCGGCTTTAGACTGTCTGTATGCGTATGATGATAAAGATTTTGACCCTATTGAGATATTCTTTTCTGGATTTCGGGCTTCGGTATATCAAGGTGACTCTGATTGTGAAGTGAAAGGGAAGAGCACAAGTGGCCAGGCTGCTGCTGGTTTGGCTGATAAGACTCAGGTAGGAAGCTCAAACCAAAGTAAACCTCGACAAAAAAGGAGAAAGAAAGAGGAAAAAGCAGCAGAATTTACTCCTCAGGTAGGAAATTCAAATAAAAGTAAACCTGGACCAAAAAAGCGAAAGAGAGAGGATGTAGCTATCGGATCTACTAGTGTGCTTCCTACTGGCCTCTATGATGTTAATGTAAATGCTGCTGAAATATCCTCATTTACTGTAGAAAATTATCCAGCAGGGGTTGCTTCAACAGTGATTATGAAGCCTCAACAGAAGAGAAAGAAAGACGTGAGTGCCCAAGTCCCTGAGGTGCCTAAACAGACCACTGCATTTACTCTGGACTTCTCTCAGGAGACTATACAGACAATCCCATCGTCTCTTGAGCTCTCTCAAGAGCCTACACAGACAAAGCCTTTTACCATTGAGGGCAAGGAAGCAGTTGGCATTCCAGATTTAAATAACCATTCTGCTCCTGAGGGTGTGCCTGGTCCCAAAAAGAGGGGGAGGAAAAAAGGGGTAAGTCCTGCTAATGCTAATTCTGACGGGAATCCGAAGAAAAAGAAGAGGCGGAGGAGGCGGAAGGATGGGACTTATGCTGATGATTTAATGACTAATACCCTTTTGAGCGCTAATGGAACCAACGCGAAACCTATTTCATTGGAAGTATGTTTGCCAAATGTGGGTCTGCAGTCATCTGTTCCACCAGCAGCAGCATCTTGTTTGAACAGTGCAAACAACAGTATGACTCCACCAAAACCAATGCAACCTGTTAATGGAAACAATACCCCTGCTGTTGCAGCGATTCCTGGTACTCCTGGGGAGGCGCCCTCTATTGAACAGATAAGGAAGAATCTTGAGATGATGACGTCCATGCTGGAAAAATCGGGGGATTCTCTCTCTGCTGAGTTGAAAGCGCATTTAGAGACTGAGATTCAGGGACTTTTGAAGAAAGTAAGCTCCAATCCTGGCTCATCTGTGTCTTAGTTGATCAGTAATTGTAACATATATAGGTGCTCCAGCGCAGCCTGTCTGAAAAACTTTGCTACTCTTGCTTAGTGTTTTCCTTCCCAATTTGGTCATTAGGTTGGTCATTGTTGATCATTCATTTAGAAGTCTTTCCCCTCGCCTCTAGATCAAGGTGTCCCAGTTGCTCCTCTTGTGCCTCAGTTTCCTTTTATTTTGCGTTGGTGGTACACTTGAAACAAAGCATTAACTCTTATTTTTGGATGCTGTGTGTGTTTTGGCACCGGGCAGTGGTAGTAAATTATTGTTGGGAACTTATTGCAGGGCTACGAGTAGTAAATTTCTGAACCTATATTGTGTGTTTCTGTTGATCGGTATGCCATTTTCTACTTGTGGCAAGCCCCAATGTTTTATTGTGCATTTCCTTTGATTGTTGACGATTTTGTCACGATCAACAAATAGACCATAAGTTGGGTAAGATCAGATTTAAGCCGGGGCCAATTCAGCTTTGTTACAGGTCGATTTTTGGGTACTTTTGGATGAAACTCGGTGGTATTTTGGGTTCTGGTTGAAAAATGGTGTTCAAATCTAAATTTTAATTTAATTTTATTTTTTATTTAATTTTATTTTTCGTTTGGGGGGGGGGATTAGTTGGGTTTTTAAAGCCGGGTAAACATTAGACAGAACTCCGGCTGCAGGAGGTGGCTATTCTGGCAATGAAAAAATGTTCAATTTGTTGCTTTTCTTTACTGTATAGTTAATTGATAATAATTACTTCTATTAAGCCCCAAAAGCAACTGTTTCAGTGGCTTTGCTTTAAGCTTTCATGAAAGATACATGAGAGGAGAACCCAAAAAATAAAAAATAAAAAAAAATCTCACATATATAGAGACTATAATTTTAGGAAAGTTTCTACTTCCTCCTTTTCATATTTTTTATAAGTTTGGGGTATTATTTGTGAGATATAAAATATTCCAAAGTTGCAAAAAATATGAAATGGAGGTAGCATATCAGAAGACTGCTAAAAAGTACTCCGTAAAAACTACGGAGTAGAGACTTGTGGAGTCTGGATAGCTTTGTCAGATATCTGTACAATATCACCATATGTAAGTAGGAAACTAAACATAGAAGGTCACCTTTGAACTGCTTAATAGGTTGATTAAGCAAAACAATCAGTCTGACAGCCAAATGATTACAGGCCCGTTGGCATAATATGGGTTGAAAGTTTCAGTGTATGAATAGTACACTGGTAGCTAGTACTATGGAAAGTCATGGTACATGCAAAGCAGTGAAGGTCAAACTATTGTCCAAGAATCAACATTTCTATACGATTCAAGTAGATAGGAACAGAGACACTCTTGTCTATTCCAGTCCAAATGTATAGAATAAGATGTTACCACCTTGTGAAGAAGATTGAAAGACAACTTGAGTTCAGTTAGATGTACAGCAAACAACCTGAACTATTCCGATTGGTATGCTGTCAAACCGCAGGCATCATTTACTCAGTCTTGCTGCAGACTAAGCCTCCAACAGGTTATCATGGGTTGCATGTTGCTAAAAGATCCGTGGTCTGAAATCTAACTTATCTCCATTCAAAGTTCTGAACTGATTCTACATACGATTTCATATCAATTTTACCAAGATGGCAAAACCCTACAGATTGTACCACTGGCAATCCACAAATCCTCTGCTCTACAACTCCCGAGCCAAGTGATAAATTCAACAACACAGTAAGATTTTGAGGAAGTACCCATCATAACAAGGCTTGTCTATCTGTTAAACAGACGATGCTGCTAATCCTGAACTGATACACTTTTGGCTTCTTTCATATTGTACTAATTTTGTTAATGTCAGAAAAATTAAAACATAAAAATCTTAATGGTTACGTTATAAGAGTGAAAAAACTGCATAAGCAAAGCCATCAAATAGGATGAGCACCCTCACCAAAGTAACAGAAAATGAAACAAAGTACACAGCAAAAATTAACGTCATAATCTAACTGATTTAAGAAGGAATTTTGGCTGAATATCACCAAAGTTACAGTATTTTCACTGATAGACTAGCAAATAATTACAACTTATAGAGAAAAAAGAAAAAAAAAAACAAAGAGAGAAAAAGAGCAGCATACCAATGACTCAGTAGAATGCAGCTTAACTGCTACGGAGTACATAGCCATATCACCTTATATTTCACAAAAATTAAGCATTGTTTCTAAATTCCCTTTATTTCAGCATTCAGGAAGTTTATTTATCTTTGAATCAGAAACAAGTGCAAATGTGAAAGTCACAGCTGAGTTTCAAACAAAATAACCGAGGAAGAAGGAAACAAAAATTATTTTCTCACCAAATATACCAAGGTTTTTTTTTGTCAATTCCACAGCCTTGATACACTAAATAGCATCTTTGGGATGTTAAATGGGAAACCATGAGAACCCCAACAGCCAAAACAAAATTTGAGAAATTTATCTAGTTATAGCTATGAACTAATGTTTAAGATGGACAATGTGCAATAAAATTTCAAAATCGTCACTTGTCTACTTCTTTGCTTCTTCATACTCGGCTTCAGGGGTCTGTTCTGATGTAGAACTACCACCTGAAGCACCACCAGAACCGCCCGACATATGTTCTCCAATCTTTGAAACAGCCTTGTTAGCAGCATCAGTCTTGGCTTTGATCTCCTCAATGTTGTCCTTCTCCATGACACTTCTCAAGTCGGATACAGCATCTTCAATTTCCTTTGCAACTTCACTTGGGATCTTCTCCCTGTATTCACCTAAACTCTTCTCTATGCTGTAGATGGTTGTGTCTGCTGTATTTCTGGCATCGATAAGAGACTTCCTCTCTTGATCTTTTTGGGCATGTACTTCAGCCTCCTTTACCATCTTCTCAATCTCATCCTCTGAAAGCCCACCAGAGGACTTGATGGTAATCTGTTGCTCTTTGTTGGTAGCCTTGTCTTTAGCAGACACAGTGACAATGCCATTGGCATCAATATCAAAGGTCACCTCAATTTGAGGAAGGCCTCGTGGAGCTGGTGGAATGCCCTGGAGTTCAAACTCGCCGAGCATCTTGTTGTCAGTGGCCATCTCACGTTCACCTTGTAGTACCTTAATTCCCACCTGAGTTTGGTTATCAGCTGCAGTTGAGAATACCTGAAATTGCGAAAAGAGGACAATAAAATGCATGAGACAAGCAGACAACAAAAAAACACAAGACAAAGGGAGAGGTAACCAGGAACAAGGGTCTACACTGCCATAACTTATTCCAAGTGCAGCCAAGACAACACTTGAAGTTATATCTCCAAAATATCAGATAACAAGCATGTTATCAAAAGTGGTTCCCATTAACATTGAACATAAACAGGGACTAATTCGATAGTATGGTTAACTTCAACTGGCACAAGTGTCTACATTAGTCACATTTAATCCACAGAAGAAAGAAAAAAGATGCAATATATCAAACAAAAAATCTCAAGTATTCTATCCAAATAAAATAATCTTGCAATACATTTCAAAGAGAGAACGGAAGTCATAACTCATAACACAATTATGTTTACCCTATCTTTGTAGGATAATAGACCAAAAAAATTAAAATAATTATAATAATGCATATTGCTTACCTGGCTCTTCTTCGTGGGAATGGTCGTATTTCTGTTTATCAATCTAGTGAAAACACCACCCAATGTTTCAATACCAAGAGAGAGGGGAGTAACATCCAAAAGAAGCAATTCCTTGACATCACCCCTCAATATGCCACCCTGAATGGCAGCACCCATAGCAACAGCTTCATCAGGGTTAACTCCCTTACTTGGAGACTTGCCAAAGATCTCCTGGACAATCTCTTGCACCTTGGGCACACGAGTCATACCACCCACAAGAAGAACCTCATCGACTTCATTAAGGGAGACACCAGCATCCTTCAAACAATTTTTACAAGGGGAGCGGGTCCTTTCTATCAAATTCCCTACAAGAGACTCAAATTTTGACCTCGTGAGAGTGATGTTCAAGTGCTTTGCACCTGAAGAATCTGCACTAATAAAGGGGAGGCTAATGTCTGTTTGAGATGTTGATGAGAGCTCAATTTTAGCCTTCTCAGCAGCTTCTCGAAGCCTTTGTAGGGCAAGACGGTCATTACTCAAATCAATGCCTTCAGTTTTCTTGAATTCAGCCACCAAGAACTCCAACAAAGTGTTGTCAAAGTCCTCTCCTCCCAAAAATGTGTCACCATTCGTAGCTTTAACCTGATTGAGCGCCACATATTAGTATAGAAGATGAAAAACACAGCAATGACAAGCTCACAACAGAAGAACGAGAAATTACCTCAAAAACACCATTTGATATCTCAAGAATAGAGACATCAAAGGTTCCACCACCAAGATCAAAAACTGCAATTAGACCCTCCTTATTTGTCATCCCATAAGAAAGAGCAGCAGCAGTAGGTTCATTAATAATTCTTTGAACATCTAGTCCTGCAATTCTCCCAGCATCTTTAGTTGCTTGTCTCTGAGCATCATTAAAATAAGCAGGGACAGTAACCACAGCCTTTGAAACAGATTTTCCAAGATAAGCCTCTGCAGTTTCTTTCATCTTGGTCAAGACAAAGGCTCCAATCTGGCTTGGAGAGTATTGTTGGCCGTTTGCTTCAACCCAAGCATCTCCATTTGGAGCCCTCACAATCTTGTAGGGAACCATTTTCATTTCCTTTTGTGTCTGGGGATCATCAAAATGCCTCCCAATCAAACGTTTAGTCCCAAAGATTGTGTTGGTAGGGTTGGTTACTGCTTGACGCTTGGCTGGAGTACCCACAAGCAGCTCACCTTTAGGGTTGAATGCTACAACTGAAGGTGTAGTGCGAGCACCCTCAGCGTTTTCAATCACTTTGGCATTCTACACACAACAATTAACAAACAAAAATGTCATCCCAAAATCATAAAATGTCTTTGATTAAGCCACAAGATAAACACTTGCTAGGTGAAGTATTAACTACCTTTCCTTCCATGACAGAAACACAAGAGTTTGTGGTACCCAAGTCAATACCAATCACATCATTCCCAGCAGGTCTTGCACTGTACAAGAAAAGACATAGGTAAGGAACAAGATACATTACCACACTTCACAATGGAGAGAAATAGAAGGTAACAAGTGTATACCTGAAAGGTCTCACCAAGTTCGACAATCTTTGCGCCATAAATGGACTAGACAATGATGGAGTGGCATTTCCAGCCAACTGTACAGACAAAACACAGCAAAAAGATTACTTTTTATCATCAGTTGATCTAAAATATGAAGGTAATACAATAGCTGGAGAACTAAACTGGAAATGAGCATGGAGCACAAAACCCGAGATCAAATTTGCAAGAAGGAAAAAAACAGCTAATGGAACCCATTACCATCAGTCTATTACCACACCAATTTCAATGACTATATATATAATCACCACACAAAATTAAAATCATTCCAGTAAATTATAACATTACACATACATTAACCCTCAAATATGATGAAAATATAAAGCAACTGTTATTTAAAAGACAAATCAGTACTCCAACAACAAGCCTCGAGACTGGAAATGAACAAATTTTTAGCCCAGCAACAAACAAAATGCAACATCAAAGGTATAAACATGGTAATCTTAAAAACAAATTTCAATATAATTAGAGCAGGGAACCTCAACGCTAAGATACAAACTACGAATTCATCAATCGTATTGATTAATTCAAAATCAAAATTGAAGCATCCTATATATTTGTATAGTTCCTTGATTCAACACGAAATTCCTTTAAAAAAACCTAAAATCAAAATTGAAGCATCCAACAATCAATAAACAACTCCAGATCAGTAAATCAAACAATCAATCCACCAATAACATCAACAAACTCAAATCAAATCAAACAAAACACAAACCCTAGCTGAAAAAAGAAAACAAAAAATGCAAATTAAAATGAGAAAAGAGCAAAAAAAAAGTACCGATTTGAGGGCGGGAAGAGAGCGGAACTGTTGAGGGCGGAGACAGCGGCGGAGAACGGTAGCCATGGTAGATTTCAGAGGAGAGAGAAAGGAGGGAGTAGATCTGAAGGCAGAAGACGAAGAAGACGGTGGAAATGGTGGGTTTAGGGTGAATTCGAGGGTTTTTCTCTCTCTTAATTTTCTTCTGGTCTTATAAAACGAGGTTAGGGGTTTAGGGTTTAAGAGGTGGAGGAAATGAAAAGGGTTAATTCGAACTTTCTAGATTTGTATTATCTTCTTTTCCAAGCTACATGACATGGCCATCTCTACACCGCTTTTTTTTTTTTTTTCCTTTTGTAACGTGTTGGTACGTTTTTTTTTTTCCCTTTAAATCTTCAAAAATATTTTGAAAATTAGAAGACGGGAATTATCATTTCAAATCAAGTTCCACCAAAGCTAAAATAGTTTGGGGAAATGAGTCCATACAAACGAATTCATCATTATCCTTCGTGTCCCATCTAGCAATTAAATGAGCCACTACATTCCCGCTCTTTTAACATGAGAATTAACGAAAAAATCAAACAAACTAGATAATCTCTTAATATCATCATACAATAGGAAAATCGGAGCTCGGCCAATTTCTGCATTGTTGATTGCCTGCTGCACATTTATAGCATCTCCCTCCAGCCACACATTGTGAAATCCAAGACGAAGAGCGAGCTGAAGCCCGTATCTATATATTGTGAAATCCACTTTAAATTTTCAAATTATGTTGACTAAAATTTGAAAAACTGATGCATTTAAAGTAACGTTGTCAAATAAAATGTTGATGAATAAATATTATTCGTATTAATATATGGAGTATCGATAAAATTAGTGCATTAGCAAGTGTAATGAGCTTTGAACATACAAGTATTAGTTATTCTGAAAAGAATGTATTACATGGAGTAAGCAACTAAGCTAGGTTGAAAAGGGAATTTTGTCCAAATACTTGAGGGTGTTAAGAGGACAATTTTATATATATATATTTTTGGGTGTTCTATCCAATTCACCCTTTAGGCTAATTCGGATTCGTGGATTAGTTCTAGGTAATTAGGTTCCAGTCTCCTCCCAATTATTGTTGTGGGGGATCGAACATGCAGTCCTCCCTACCAAGTGTAGTCCAATCACCCCTACATCAACAACCAATTTTCTATATTTATCGATCGTGCTTTCTATGTGCTTGTACCTTGTTAGCATTAGATACAACATATTGTACAATGAATGTCCTTCGACTAAGTATGAGCAGCATTTTACACCCTTTGAAAATGATGGAAACAAATCATGAAAGAAAATTAAAAAAAAGTATACATAAGCTGAAGTCAAATGTCAAAAGTCATAATTGGAGACATTACTAGGCTAAAACAGCTCATATCAGAATGCTGAAATCAAAATTGTTACATTGAAGAAGTTACAGGGCATTAGGGCAATACAGAACCACTCATTGAAAAAATTCCAATCATCTTGACAGAAAAATGAAATAAAAGAATCTGTACATAATGTTAATGATCAGTAAACCGTAACGTAGAACTTCAACATCGTTTCTAAGCTAACAGTATCAGACTATAAGCTATGTTATACGAAACCTCACTAGCTGTGTTTCCAACATGGGTATAGTCGTAAAGACACTAACGCTTCAATTTGGACCAAAACTTGGACATGTAACAACCAATACCTGAGACCAAGTAACATAGAGAATCATTGTAAGTTTGGGCATTAAAATTTGGCCTTATCCCTACAAGACCACATAAGATGTCCTCCAGACAATGGCAATGCTGATAGGCGAAGAATAAGTGACTGAAATGAGGACCATTTCTTTTTCATTCTCGATATGGAGATTACTAATCATATCATACCCGTTGGTAGCCTCCTTTTTCTTGGTGTCCCCCTTCAGAGCTGCGTTTAAGGAATGACTTTCGGTTCAAAGACCAGCTTCTTTTGAAATTCTTCCGGTTCCACCAAGCATTGATACAGGTATAAAGGGATGCAAAAGAGAAGCAAAGAAGCACTAACACGAGTGTAACTGCGCAAATCAACATTACATTTCGGAAACCATCCTTGATATCAGGATTCCTCTGCATTGTCCATGGAACTCCTCCCACATTCATCCCAAAAACTGCAAGCAAACATTAAATTTTCAGACGCAAAAACTCGTGTATGCCTACTTTATTTATTTATTTATTTTTTTCTTTCCCCTGATCACATGTATTCCAATAATCAAGTACGATTGAATTATATAGGAAAAAGCATTTACCTCCAGTGATGACTGATAAAGGAAGGAATACGATCGATAGGAATGAGAGGTAGTATAGTTTCCTGTTTATTTGTTCAGCCTGCCAACTATCTAGACTAGCCTGGATTGCAGTTACTCGGTTTGCTATAAAACCGACATTCTCTTTTAGCCTTCTCAGTCTCCCAATCAACTCTTCAAGAGAGATGACATCTTCTTGGGCAAACCAATCTTTTGAAGAGCATTTTTCCTTGACACGCGGAAATATTTGTTCTCCATGTGCAATAACCTGCAATCAACAGTGCACATCATAAAGATTAATTCTAGAAAAGACTGGCCTGGTGCATTGGTCAACTGTGCTTCATTGGAGAAGGAAATCGCTAAAATAATTACCTGGAGTAGCCTCTGTAGATTAAGTTGCATTTTCGGAAATCTTCTGTCATCTAACATTTGCTTTTTCAAAGCAAAACCACCTGCAATCCATTAACGTGATCAGGCTCAATATCTTCAAAAGTAACGAAAATAATCACTAGAAACTCATCAACAAAGGCTTTATTTGGAAATAATGAGCTAAAATTGCAAAAATTCAAATCTACAAAATGGGATTACCCTTGATCTTGACACTGCAATTTATAATTAAGAGCTGATAATATGTTTCTGTCACGAATTAACCATCCCCAACACATATTTCTAACAAGCATGACTTGACACTAAGATGATCTTAAAATGCAGGTGTAGAACCTATACAGCAATACAGAGGGTTTTAAGCTACAAATCCACGATTGAAATTCTACAAGCGCTAAATTAGTCAACTTGTTAGACCACTTTGCAAATCCTAGTGAGCGAATATCAATTTCACCAAGAAAGCACACAGTAGCACAATGCAGCCTAGCAGCAGGACAGTGATATACTAGTAGTACACAAATGCAATATGCTTATTCATCATAATGTTTTCCCTGAAGCAATCAACTTGCAGAAAGGATGATGAAGTTAAGCCACAAGAAAGTTGCCTTAAACCTTCAAATGATACTATGGTATTCTGAAAAATACATCCCATGATAAGAACAAACTACAGTACATTCGATCTGAAATTATCGAAATAGGGCATTATCATCATCACTGTCCCATGATAAACAATTAAACATCACATGACTACTAATAAGGTCAAGCATGCATAAAGGCTTGAGGCTTGCAGTAACAGATGCAAAAGAATCACTTGAAGTAGCATAATTAGGCATGATGAATTTCATTAAAAATGCAAATCTATATTTATATTCTAGTTTTCCAGCAAGAAAGAAATGATAGAACAAGAAACGATTTTGACCTGAAATACCAACCTCTATCCAAGTCTAGTTCAACTGAATCCAAATCGCTCTCAAGTTTGGTCACAATATCTTGCAGATGATCCACAAATGTATCAATAACATGAATAACAAGATTTGAGACAGAGTGAGGGACTAGATTATCAGCCTCCTCAGAATGATTCATTGTCAACAGAAACTCAAGCACATGCTCCTTGATCACAATCCCCCCTCCTCTTTGCTCCCCGTTTCGACCTCTAGGAGTATCAACAGCCGGGATCTCCGACAACAAAGACTGACCCATCTTCGAAAACCCAAGCCTCGGAACTCTCCCCAATGAAACAGTAATCACAAAATTCTCAGTAATCCTAGCAGCAAGCCTACATATATAATCACTAGAAGCAGGTCCAGGGGAGTTGACCCGAAAAACGAGCGCCCCATCAACATAACCACAAAATGATCCATTGCTAACAAGTGATAGAATGTCTTGAAGCTTTAAAGGAGGACAAAGAACATCAATTAAGTATTTTGCAGAAATTGAAATATTATGATTTGCCTTAGGAAGTTCAATATGATACCAACAAAATTCTTTTCCTTCTCCTGGTTTAAGATCCCAATCTTTACTATGATAATTACCATTGCCATCAAATTTGTAAGCCCATCTTCTCACAAAACCTGGAAAATGTGTTTTCTGGAAATTTCTCTCTCTTAAAGGAGTACTTTCAGATGGTTCTACTACATCAATATCTTCCAAAATACTGCTTTCTTCCTGAGCTAGCTCCATCTTTTTCCAATTTTTTTTGCTATAAATTACTGATTTCTTCCTAATCTAATTCAATAAACCCTAGAATTGAAGATTGAAGAACTCAAATCTGGAATCCTAAAATAAATAAGTTACACCTTAAAAAAATCAAATCTTGAAGTAACCCACCAAATATAAATCTCAAATTTGCAAAACCCACGAAAATTCAACCAAATCCCAGAACTAAACTTCTAAGATTTGTTCTAAAACTCACAAATTTAGTATTATCTGAGTAAGAAATAAGATCCCAAATTAAAAAAACCCTGATAGAAGTATTTATAATGTAAAACCTTTGACAATAGAAATAAAGCAGGATAATTTTGTCGAGTTTGTTTCTAGAGGATTTGTTGAAAAGTTCAACCAAAAAGGAAATTTTTTTTGAGATTATTATTATTATTTTGGGATAAATATGAGAAATTGGCATCTAACAAACTTACCGAAATTGGGTTTCCGGGAAGTTTCAGAATTCCTAAGCTCCTAGGAACTTCTGGGGCCCCACCTCAGCGGAACAGATAACTGCAATTTAAAAAATTCCCACTTTTGTTGAGTTCTTGGTTTGAAAAAAAAACAACGTAGTATTTCTTTTATCATTTACGTTTGAAAAAAAGTATAAGATTTTTTTTTTTTTTTTTAATGGATTAGTAAAAAAAAATACAAGATTCAGCTAACATAGTTTTGAAAAATTGTAGGTAAATATCTAAAATTGAGATTCAAGAGTTGCCTTAAATATAAAAATAAATGTGTAAATATTGCTCTGTATGAGCTATTGTTGAACCGGATATCATTACCCAATTTGCCATAATAGAAGATTTTCCATACCAATTTTTTATACAGTAAAAAAATTAGTGTGGAATTCATGACAATTCGTTGATATTTGTGTGATTTTAATTATGGTAGCTTAGTTTAAAATTATTTATAATTATATGAGTATATTGTTGTTAAATTATTTACAAAGCAAACTCTAGTTGTAACAGAAGGTGGAGGTGGGACAATGGAGGCAGGAGCGGTCTTAGTGGTTTGATAATGGTGGTACTAATAGCAGTGGTGTGACAGTGGTGGTAAGAGGGGTGGTGTTAGAGAGGGAGTGATGGTAGAGTGATTATTAAAAAGTGCGGACGGTTTTAAGTAAACACGGGCGTAAAATAGCAATGGTTTTTTATTTCCCTGGTGCTACAAGAAAAGTGAAATCGAGCCAGCAGAGGGGCTTCTTTGCCACTTCTGAAATTAGGGACTTGTTTTATACTTTACTCGGTATAATGGCTACAAAATCACTGGGTTACTCAATGTAAAATCAAAAGTGAACATTAATTCCAGTCAGAATATCAAAAATCAAGCCTACTTATACATCCTTAAGTGATTTGTTCACTGGCTCTTCTCATTTTCGTAACCTGCTGCTCTCCCTGTTCTACCAATCACAATAGGCTTCGGCATTGAGCCATCATGGTGTATATCCAGGCCTTGGTATGATCGCATGGCCAAAAATTCCGCCCCAGATTTTGGATCAATGTTGGCAAGGGTATTGACATCTTTGTCCCGAAGCCGGAGGGCCTTTTCTGTTGATATCGCCAAGGCAAGGCCTTCACTGTCATCAGCAATCTCTGTGAAAAAAACAAAATAATCAAATTAAGAAAAAAAATACATCAAGAAGGGTTCAGGCTTTAACCAAATGCTCGCTCAAGTTCTGGAAGTAACAAAGATGTTTTACAAGCATAGGAATGATGTTTCAATATTATTTACCAATAATCAACTATTTTGAGCTATATTTGTCTACAAAAGCAAATTTTGACATACTAGCTGACAACATGTACTTACCTTCATGATCAAGATCCTCAACATATCTACCTAGGATGAAAGAAAACCGCGGTTCATCCGTGCCTACTTCAACTCCGCATGATGGCATATTCATCAAATCCCTGAACTCCATTGTGTATGCCCCAGTCCACTGGCTACCTCTGAAGAATAACACACACTGCACATATTAAGATAATATATACTCTGTACAAGTTAACTTGAGACAGGAAAATTTGTTTGGTTGAATCTAGAAGCACTTACTAAGCCACTTATTGTCCATCCTATACTCATTTGAGAATTGATAAAGAAAGACTAAAATTCAGATAATTGCCATGAATAAAAACTACTGATTCTGTATGTATGTACAAGGGTGGAAAAAGAAAGTCAACCGAACGCAAGATGGTAGATATAAGACACATCCCTTAATGCTTTAACAGTATCTATGTGAGGATAGGTCAACAAGGTACTGTTAGAAATTAGCAATGTGTGGGTAACATTGTCAAAAATACAATTCAAATAGCCAAATACATTAAGATCATGTTATATTGAATGTGAACCTAAAGGGATACCAAAAATTACCAATCCTCTAGATGATATTTAGCCCAACAATCAATCAAAGCCTTAATCCCATAAGTGGGGACGGCTACATGAATCAAATTTGAAAGGAATTATACTCCATATACATATGCACAAGTCTGCAGATCAAATTGTAAAGGCAAACATAGTGATTACATGATATATTCCCCACCCCCCCCCCCTCCGCGCGGACCTCCTGAAGAGGTAAAAGCTGTGGACATGTATCAAATGTACATAACCACCCCACCCCACCCCCACCCACCCCCCCCCCCTCCAGAATAAATAAAAACTGCAACATGTAAAAATGTACATATGCGAAAGAAAGCACAAATCTGTAGAAAAGCTGAGCACAGTCATGAACTATCTTAAAATAAATAAATTATCTTCAAAATGCAGCACCTTTTAAAAGCAAGCATCGCCTCAAACGGAGTGATGATTGGAGCTAGGAACTCTTTGCTATCCAAAAGTGCAGTTTGTGCGCAAGAAACATAAACAAAAACATCGCACTGCCGACCAAAAAGGGAAATTATTACAGGTCAAATAATCAGAAGTCAGATAACACAAAATAAAAAAACTTAAATATGTGTGAAATCATCTACCTCGGGGAAGTTGGCAAGCTTTGCTGGGTTTGGCCTCCCTACAACAATCGTATAGGCCTTCTTCCCTGCTTTTGTGACCAAATCTTTCATTTGATGAATCATGTGAAGATAACCGGCTGCACAAAGAATAAGAGCATCAACACTTCAACAGCAATCAGAGATAATTGTATACAATCCAGAGAACTTAGGTAAAATAAACATTGCCGATTGAGAAAATTCAAGTGTCATATCGCCAGTCAACGAACGAAGTGTACCTACACCAAGGGTTCCAACCAAAATTCCAACAATACCAGCATCCTTTGCCTTCTCCACCAAGTAGTATCTGAAAGCACATTATAAGTTCAGATCGTCAAACTGCACAGAAATCCTTGCATCACCCAACTTGTGCATCTAGGGAAAGGAATGACTTACAGGACAGAGAGATCATGTTCAACATAAATAACAAGATGAAAAGTTTACTTGTATATTACCTACGTTGTAGAATCCTAGTTATTTGGGATACATCTGTTATTAGGGACTTCTCTGCAGGAACATATCTCACTGAAACAAAAACAAAGACTTTTATATTACATGAAAGCCACAAAATCAAAATTTCAGCAAATTTTTTAGTTCTCGTCTTTGGAACTTGACAATTTCATTTTCACAATGGGAATAAACTACTCTAATACATCAAATGAATTGCCGAATGTTTTTACAAATGCATCACACCGGTGTGAGGAGAAGTAATTTGCCAATAAATATCCGTTTGCATTAAAATAGCCATAAACATATGTCTTATATATGCTTCATTGAGAAAATGGGGTGTTCAGAGTTTCTTCATTTACATCAAATTATATCAACAACCATCAGCTTTTGAAAAAAGGTAACAAATCTAGTGTAAGTATATAAGCTATGCCTAGCAGATTATAAAATCCTAACATCTTACATAACAAAAAGTTACCTAGTTGTGAGTTGTTTTTGTTTTGCTTAAAGCCCCCTCCCCTCTCTACTAACCACTCAGTCAACTGGATCCTATTCCTTGATTCTATATGAAGAAAATTGTTCAGAAAAAAAAAAATATTATAAAATTGAAAAGGAGTATACTCAAAGGAGGACAAAGCAGAGACCTATACAGAAAGATTGCAAGCCAACTAAGGGTACAACATCAGAAGCAAGTCTCAGAAAAACGTAATCGGAGGCAATAACAGCAACACGAGTTTCATATAAGAACCATACCAATTTCACATGCATTAAGAGTCAGCACTACATTTGCAAATGCTGAATTATCTAGTCCAATCCAAAAAACCAAGTAATCCTCAATTCGTTGACCATGTGGTATATTCCAAGTGAGACCACTGATGCTGTAAGATGTATGAACTTCAGCATCACCAGCTTCAGGGAAACTAGAAAGGTTATTAACAACTTCAGCTTGTCCATTGGATGTCATCTGCCCTGTGGGTGGAGCAACAGTCGAAGACAGAACACTAGCACAATTAATATCTAACTTGGATGAAGACGTTGACAATTTTAATGCTTCATCTTCTAATGTTCCCTTCAGATCATGTATTGCATATGTATATTCCAGTCCTAAGAGAACCTAAGCAAACATAAGCGGAGACAATAGACTAATAATCAAATTTGCGAGGTATGTAAAGGTGACACAAATGAGATAATATTTTGCATGTTAAGTACAGAATGAATAAATAAAGAAATTTAGCGAAGAAAAAAAAAGGAAGCATAATTGATATAAAGAACATTTTCAAATGAGTTTGTTCTCGTACCAGAATAGGCTTGTTGCAACTTGAAGCAAAAGTGCAGATCTTCTGTGCACAGTCAGAAACATTTATACACGCCTTTCCAAATACAAAAAATGCTGGAAGAGTTGATGTCCTGCAGTAAGCCAGCACCCAAAAGCTAAATAGAAACAAGAGGCAATCTATATGCAAGAAAACTTTGCCAGATAAACACAGGAAATGGCAATATGTGGAAACATGACAACAAAGAAAAAGAAACAGCATCAATTACTTGATTACTCTACAGTTGCATCTCAAACATGCTATGAATAGATGAGACACGATGTACACACTCACATTCGAAGTACTATACTAGTACAATTATAGGCCAATTTGAAAAGAGTTTCTATTTCCTAAGATATTAATAACAAATTCATCACTTTCCTACACCATCCCTCCTTACTTTCCCATTCAATACAACAGTTAACACCTAACCATGCATGCCAAGGATATATTCAAATACACGTGCAAATTCCTTTATTAAGACAATGGAGTCTAATAGTAATGTAAAATTAGACACCAAAAGAGTATATTAGAGGATAAGTTATAGTTCAGACTATAGAAGGTTAATATCAATAAAAGATAAATTACCGTTTCACACTAACTATTAATAACTATGCAACGGCCAAATACCTATGCCATACCATTGAAGCACACATGAGCACGCACACAATAATTCAATGCAATTCAGCTATACCCTTGCTTTCACAACCATAGACTAAGGATTCAATTCAATTTTCTATATGTTCACAAAAAACACAAGCACAACAATACCAAAACTATAAATAATCACTTACGGGCTCAAACAAGTATGTCCATAATGTACAACGCATTCGGCATTGATGTGTGCCGCCCCAACCTCATCAACACAACAGCTACCATAAGCTGTATCAGCCATAACATACAAACCCACATCCCTCTTTCCCTCCACAAGGGTTCCACCTCTGTCATCATCATCACATTTTCGAAGTGCTCGAAGCTTTTCTCGAAGTTCTTTTACAACTCTGATCGAATCTTTCAACAATTCATCAGGAAACTGGTAGTTCATATCCATCCACAAATAAGTTCACAAATAATATTGTTTTTATTATAAGATTAGAATCAAATTAAACAATACCCAAGTAAACCCTAGTCTTCAAATCACCCCACCCCCAACAAAAAAACCAATTATACATACACATTAGTGGAAATTTACATAAAACTAAAAATGGGTATCTTAATATAATTCATGAAACCAAGTTAAGTTCAAGAAACACTAGGGCAATTCTACTAAAAATACCAAAGATCCAAACTTTAATTTTCAGATATACAGATTATTAATTGGGATTAAAGCATGATAAGAACAGCAAATGGGGGTGGGGGGACAATAGTTTCTTACTTAATTAAGCTGAAAAACTGAACAAACAACAATTAAGAAGAACAAAATTAAATTTTTAAAAAGTTATAAAGAAGAACCTGAAGTGCAACTCTAGTGAAATTATGAGAGTGGATATAATCTGCAGTTCGATCAATTTCAAAATTTGCTTCGAAATCCATTTCAGGGAGAAATGAGGAGAGAGAAAATAGGGAAGACGTATTTCCTCTGTTCTTTCTCTGAAAATGGCGGCTTTCATGAAAGCACGTGAAGTGCACATGACTAGTTCTGGTTTAATTTTGGACTACCCACCACGAAAACCCGATTGAAATGACATAGGCCCAAAAGAGAAGAAAAGGAATATGGAGTAATTGAAAGGAAGGGTGTAAATACAAGTTTCTCTCCGTGAAAATACAAGTTTCTCCTATTATGTTTTCGTAAATAAATCAATAACTTTTTTATTAATATGGGCTTTATAATTGATGATGATTGGATAAAATTGTTGATTTATTTCCGAAAATGTCATGTAATAAACAAAAATTGTTTATCACTGAATTGGGACAAACTCGAAAGGTGAGATCGTCTATTAAATTATTCTTTAGGGCAAATCAAGCAGCAAATTTGATAGCAAAAGTTGATCATCTTTCGTGTCTCAAGCCTTGTTACGCTATCTTCACCAATTTGATTGTAAAGTTGTGGTTCCTTAACATTGAGTACTAGTATGTTTATCGTTCGAAAGGATAAGTTAACTTAATCTTTGCATACGAGTTCACAAATGAGTTAGGTTAGTGTTGAGTTGACCTACTTTTCAATCTTATTAATGTGAAATAAATTTGAAAATATATGTTTCCTCTAAACTTGGTAAAATTGAATCGTATCTAAAATGATTTAAGCACACCAAAAATTGATCTTGGCATCACCTCCGTGTGAGAATAACATTCGAATTTGTGTTCTCACAACATATTTGCCAAAATCAATTAGTGGTGTATCTAAATTAGTTTCCTTAGTTTTCAATCCAAACTCTACACTAAAATGCACGACATGATTATATCTTAACTAAATTGATATAACACAAGATTTATTTAACAAATTAAATGTTGATGTAGGTAATCATAATAATTAATGAGCAATTTAATTATAAAAAATACTATACATAGTCCTTAGGGCTACATATAAGCATTAAAAACACTCTTAAAAATTGTTTAAATTTAGAAAATCATGACAAAAACACACTAATTACACTGATCTACGTGTGTTTTTGATCATGAATTCTTAATTTCATACAATTTTAAGAGTATTTTTAATGTTTATAATCAGCCCATATATAGCATTACCCTTTAATTATTAGCTTAAATATAAAATAAATTAAACCAAATAATTCGATTGCCACCTTAATTTTATTCCGAATGCTCGGCCCAAAAAATAAAGTTTTTCTAACGCATAAAAACCTAGGCTCCGAGCCCATATTCACAAATTACAGATTTTCACACTACATTCTATCATCTCATGTTTCATCCACCCAAAATCAGCAACATCACCCCCTTCAAAAATACTAATCCAAATTTTGCAACATCAAATTCAAACCCTTTTTCTGAATTCCAAAAACAAATTTGAAGTAATGTTACAATCCATAATTGGAGCAAGCAGTATAACACTCCTGAGTGCAGTGTCATGCAAAGCAAAGGGAAGAACAAGCTCCAATGGCAATGGCAAGGTCAAAATAGTAAAAGTGTTGGAGAGAGAAAATAGGAAACAAAAAAATGGTGGGTTTGGAGATAAGAAGAAGGAGGAGCCTTTGTGGCAATGTGTAAAACAATGTGGGGCCTGCTGTAAGCTTTCTAAGGGTCCCAGTTTTGTCACCCCTGAAGAAATTTTTGAGAACCCTTCTGATATTGAGGTTATTATCACCTATTTCTCAATTAATAGTTTTTGATTAATTTTGTTTATATTTATGTTGTGCAATTATTTCTAACTTGCAAATTGTAGTATGAATTATATTTTGCGGTTTTTTTTTTTCAAAATTGCAAAAGAATGATTATTTTGATAGTAAATTTGGGTGGAATTGATTTATTTTTCTTCAAATTTTGGTGCAAATTCTGCACTTTATGGGTTTAATTTAGTAGTAAAATTGAGTTGAGGAAACAAGGCGAAAGTTATTCTTAAATGTTGGATGAAATTATATCAAGAGAGTAGAACTTGAAATCATACATTTAACAAGTGGTCATATATATTAGCAAAAGAATTCATATTAGTGGGATTATGTTAGTTTTTTGGGTTCATGGAAGTCTCACCGTCACTAAGCTAAGGTTTCGTTTGATTTGATGGAAAACATTTTCGACTAGAAATAATTCTGTGGAAATATTCAAGTGGAAACACAACTGCAAATTGGTTTTCCATTGTTTGGTTTATAACAAGAAAAGCTACAGAGAAAAGAAAAGGCAAAATTACACTTGGTAACTAGAATTATAGGCAGCTAGTACTATCGGCATGAACTTGTCACTGTAAACAACAATTTAGCACCAACTTGTTCATTGAAAAATAGTTCATGATTTCTGGCCAAATGAATCCATACCATTGTAGAACTGTTAAGGAGCTGACCGAGAGATGAAATGAAGAATCCGAGTTACTTAGAACGAGAAGGAATTCATGGCTAATGAGATAGAGTAATTTATAATAATACAATTTTATGCTATATATATATGTAATTTGTTACTTTGATTTTTCCTTATCTTTAGCTTGATTGATTATATATTTACCAAATGTTTGTGTACAGCTTTATAAAAGCTTGGTAGGTACAGATGGATGGTGCATCCACTTTGATAAGAGCACGAGGTCATGCTCTATTTATGACGGTGAGGCACCTTTCAGTCATACTTGTATTAAGATTATTTGGTTATGAAGTTTGGCTATAATTCAAACCCTCAAGCTTATTGAAGAAACTTTCAGACCGGCCATATTTTTGCCGTGTGGAGCCAGAAGTCTTCCAGAATCTGTATGGAATTACCAAGAGGAAATTCAACAAGGAAGCTTGCAGGTCTTTTACTGGGTTTTTTCTTATCTTGTTATTATTGCATTAGTTTAATTAAATTAACGTGAATTTGCCTTTTCTGGTCAACTTATGGCAGTTTTTGTAAGGACACAATCAAATCAATTTATGGTGCAGATTCGGAAGAGTTGGATAGGTTCAACAAGGCTATAAGAAGCTGAAATTTCTAGTGCCAAAAGCCTGAAATGATGTTGCCATATTATGTGATTACGAGAATACGAGGTCAGTCTTCTCCTTTGAACATGTTTATACACAAGGTATTTTTCATTTAGTAATTATCATCGTGTGTATACACAAGGTATGATCTCCATGGAAAATGTTGTGAGGGTAAATTAGAAATTCACTGAGGTCAGAGTCCTTCAGAATGCATCATAAGGAGTCTGCCTGAATCAGTTAACCTTTTAAGAGTTATACTGCCTGGGATAATCCTTTGGCCTTTGATTCTGAAGTCAGGGAACTATTCTTTCTAGAGAGGTTGGGGGGGGGGGGGGTATTCCTTATTACAGAACATCTTAAGATAACAGGCTTATTAATTTGAAGTTGAGTCCATTATGTGGGTATTTTCGTTTCACTTGTAAATTAGGCCAGGCTAAAAACCAACTCAAACAAGTTTATGGCCAATGGTACTGATTTAAATAAAAAAAGCATTCTAATATTTCCTCACTTGATTAAAATTCTACAGTATTTAGATAGTTTTGAAAGATTTGCAAGAATGGTGGCAATAATCTGCATTTCGCTCTATGGTACGGAAGATGAGTATAGTTAAGGTTGATTATTTGAGAGTGCAGGTTGCTCTCTGCTGATATAATGCTGCTTTCTGGCCAGTGATGTGACTGAGCAGCATATCGATTAATTATCTAATGAGCTGTGTATATAATTTCCTACAATCATAGACGCTGCTTGTGAAAAGCTGAAGAATCACAGTGGGATAGACAGCATGCTTAAGGATCAATACGTGCTTTAGCATATAGTAATAGGGAGCAGATTATTCTCCCAATGCAAAATATATGAGTATCAATTTTGTTTGGGCCAAAATGGCAAGCTGATGATCAATCTTATTCAGTTATGTCTTCAGTGTGTGACTGTAACTGATGCTGCTAGATTGTAATATTTTTGCCTATTTAGGAATATTACAGTCTTGCAGAGACACCAGTGTAAAGCTAAATATTCAATTTTCTAAGCATTGGTGATTCTGATTTTCACCTGAACCTTTTTTTGTGAATTTTTACTCGTTAATATTCTGATTTCTGAAGTCATTTACATAGATGGGAAACTCCAAATTTGTACTAATTGTGATCACAACTCGAATTAAGTAACACATATTGCCTATTAGCTGCATCGTATACATGCCTATAGAGGAGGTCTGACTGCACCGTACCAGATGAGCTATTGCTTGCTTAGATACCTGTAGATTTCGGGTTGAAGATCGAGTAAACCACTTCCTTCGCTGCAAATAAAATGACCAATTCAGTCAAGATTATTTAGCTACACAACAGATACTAAAACGTGGGGCTTGGGCATATGACAAATTGACAAAATTATAGTCAAGCCATGATTTTAACATATCAATTCTGGACTTAAAGTTAGACTTATCACCTAATTGTTCTTGGATTTCACATTGATGATGGTAGGGAAGAGTCGTGTCTTAACTGTCTAATGAAGTGATGGAAAGCTGGAAACAGCTCGATCCGAGATTGAAAGGTGGTGAAGTACTGGTGCATATAGTGATAGTCTTGATTCTTAAATAATGGAAGGTGAAGAAGATCTTGCAAGGAGGGACACATGTTAAGGCTATTTAGTAGAGTTGAATTCGGGTTTAGTTGTATTCATGCAGTCCATGTCGAATTTGGGTTTCTCTTAGTAGCTTTACGCGAGGTAAGGTTCATATTAACTTAGCCTCGAATTTGGGTGGTGTTCGTCATGTCGTAATATCATGCTATTTGAGGTGGTGAATGTTATGTTTGGATTAGGTTTGGTTTAGACCGTTTATCAAGGTTGAGACATGTTAGCGCCTATCGTAAGCTAGGTTTTCATGAAATATCAATCAATGTCGGACATATTAATTTCAGAATTAAGCCAATTTTTCAAACCGGGTCAATATCCACAAGGCTATTGAAAGTAAGGTCAGTCTCATTCAAGTACTATAAAACAAATATGGTGGCCCTTAAAGAGTACGAGCGTGAAATAATGGTGACCTTTATTCATTGTTATACCATTACATATTTCCATGAAATCATACCTCCACAATTATGGAGTGGAGCCTCTCCCATACTTTCTCAAAATCACTATCAATCCAAATTAATGGGAATTGGAAAAGTCTTCAAAGACTAACAATGTTCTACTGTCAATTTAAGCTTAAAATTCTGAATTTTATCTTAACATTTTGGGGTTTCAATTAACTGCAATGTGCCAATATTGAGAAAGCTATTCCTCTCATTTTCAATCCCTAGTTGTCAAAGTCACTTAACCCTTTTTACATCCTCACCACCTAGTTTTGGCCTCGCTGTGGGAGGTGAAGGGCGTCTTCCTAATTAATTCTCTGTACCCCACAACGTGTAGATACGTACAAGTTATTATGAAAATCAATCAATATATATGAATTAAGGACCCGTTACTGTTTAAGGTGCGAAATATTATACGAGAGTCCAAAAATCAAATCATATCCTTTAGCTTTATAAAAACTGTCCTTCCATTGTGCCATGCAAACATCAACACTCCTTTCCATAATTCTTATCAGAGTCACTTTTATTTCCTTCCATGGGTTCCTTAGAACTGCAACCCACAACCCAAACCCACCAACCCGACCCAGAAAAACCCAACCCGGATATCGATGATGACTACATTTCTCCGATCGAAGAGGTCCGGCTAACGGTCACCAATACCGATGACCCGACCCTACCGGTATGGACCTTCCGAATGTGGTTCTTGGGCCTCATTTCTTGTGCAGTCCTCTCATTTTTGAACCAGTTCTTTTCTTACAGGACTGAACCCCTGGTTATAACCCAAATCACAGTCCAAGTAGCTGCTCTGCCCATTGGTCAGTTCATGGCCCATGTCCTCCCTCGGACCGTGTTTCATATCCCCGGGTTTGGGGCCCGAACATTTTCACTTAACCCCGGCCCATTTAACGTCAAGGAACATGTACTTATAACCATATTTGCTAATGCTGGAAGTGCTTCAGCTTATGCTGTCTTAATAGTTGATATTATTAAGGCCTTTTACATTCGGAAAATATCATTTTTAGCTGGTTGGATTCTTATTATCACTACTCAGGTATTCATTAAATCATTTTTCCTAAATTATTCTAAATTTAATTTCTAGTACTTTGATTAATTAATCTATAAGGTTCATGTAAACATGCTATGTTTTTTTTTTTTTTTTTTTTTTTTTTTTTTTTTTTTTTCGTTTTCATCAGGTATTAGGATATGGTTGGGCAGGTTTAATGAGGAAGTATGTAGTCGAGCCTGCCCATATGTGGTGGCCTAGCACTCTTGTGCAAGTCTCTCTATTTAGGTAAATATGTACAAATTTAATGGAGAATTTTTTATGTTACATGATAAGATTTGATACTATCAAATAGGCTTTCGTGCAGATGTACGTATGCACGTACACTAGTAGAGAACGCGCATAGAACCAACGATTCTTTTCAGTTCCCATAGGCCATAACATCTAATTTATTTGATGCAGGGCCTTGCATGAGAAGGATGACAAGGATGAGAGGCGCATATCAAGGTCAAAGTTTTTTATGATCGCGCTATTATGCAGCTTTTTGTGGTATGCAGTTCCTGGTTACCTGTTCTCAACACTTACGAGTGTATCATGGGTCTGCTGGGTATTTTCAAAATCAGTCACAGCACAACAACTAGGCTCGGGGATGAAAGGCCTCGGTCTAGGGGCCGTAACACTAGACTGGTCTGCCGTGGCATCCTACTTAGGCAGCCCTCTTATAACCCCATTCTTTGCCATTGCAAATGTGTGTGCAGGCTATGTTATGATAGTATACATCTTCGTTCCTATAGCATATTGGGGATTTGATTTGTATGGTGCTCGAAAATTTCCCATTTTCTCTTCACATTTATTCACAGCTCAAGGCCAACCCTATAACATTTCAACTATTGTCAATGATAAATTTGAACTAGATCTAACAGAGTATCAGAAACAAGGACAAATCCATATGAGTGTGTTCTTTGCATTTAGTACTTATGCCTTTGGATTCGCTGCCATAGCAGCCACTATCACTCATGTCACCGTCTTCTATGGAAGGTAATGTTACTTATTTACTTGAACTTCTAATCCTGTTCAATTGTTCATTAGGCTATAATCATCTCTAAGACTTGATAATGACATGTAGTAAAACGTTCAACTATCAGGGAAATACTCGAAAGATATCGTGCATCGTACACAAGCAAGGAAGATATTCATACCAGACTAATGAAGAAGTACAAAGATGTACCATCAAGTTGGTTCTACCTTCTTCTTGGGTTAACAGTAGCAATTTCTTTTCTTCTCTCTATTTTCTTAAAAGATCAAGTTCAAATTCCTTGGTGGGCTCTCCTCTTTGCCTGTGGCTTGGCATTCATTTTCACCCTTCCTATCAGCATCATAACCGCAACAACAAACATGGTAAGTTAGTGACCGGAAATGAAAAGGAATGATAAAGAACTACGGAGTACTTATATGTTAGAAAAAGAACTAATACCGACTATGATTGAAAGAAGTTTCCTATCACATAGGCAATGAATTTTAAGAAGTATTATGAAATCAATGCTTACAAAAACTTAACTATAACTCGGCTTCATGTTCTATGTGCAGGAACCAGGACTGAATATTGTTACAGAGTACATTATGGGTATTATATTACCAGGAAAACCAATTGCCAATGTGTGTTTCAAAGTTTATGGTTACATGAGCATGTCACAAGCTATATCTTTCCTCAGTGATTTTAAGCTAGGACACTACATGAAGATCCCGCCAAGATCGATGTTTTTGGTTCAGGTATAACTCTTACTCAGTAATTGTTGAATCAGGGCATTGCAGCAGCAGCAGTTTACATGTATCTAACAAAGTCAGATTACTAGGAGTCAAAACAAGTGATTTTAGCCCTGCTTTATATACAGAATATGCCATATCTCACATTTTTAGCCCTTTTTACATGATCTTGCAGCTCATAGGAACTATTCTTGCTGGTACAATCAACATTGCAGTAGCATGGTGGTTGCTCAACTCGATACACAATATATGCCAGGATAATCTGCTTCCACCTAACAGTCCTTGGACATGTCCTGGTGACCGCGTATTTTTTGATGCTTCTGTTATATGGGGGTTAGCAGGTCCTAAAAGGATATTTGGAGATCTTGGACCTTACAAGGCCTTAAATTGGTTCTTTCTAGGAGGTGCACTAGGACCGATTATAGTTTGGCTCCTTCACAAGGCTTTCCCTAAGCAATCATGGATTCTATTGATCAATCTGCCTATACTTTTCAGCGCGACATCTTCTATGCCACCAGCAACAACTCTCAACTACAATGCCTGGATCGTAGTTGGAACGATTTTCAACTTAATCATATTTCGTTACAGGAAACTGTGGTGGCAAAGATACAACTATATTCTTTCAGCAGCCTTGGATGCTGGGGTTGCCTTCATGGGAGTTCTGTTGTACTTAGCACTAGTTATGGAGGATAAAAACTTGACCTGGTGGGGTACTAACGGCGAGCACTGCAATCTAGCAACATGTCCAACAGCTAAGGGTATCAAGGTTGATGGATGCCCTATCCACTAGTTCTTGTTCATGTACAGAATTTAACATAGAACTTCTGTTTGATACTTGTATAATACAGCGCGAGAGCTAAGAGTCTAAGACTCCTAAGTCCTAAAACTTGTAACAAAATACCAATATGACAAATGATTGAGTATAAGTTTCGATCCAAGTTTTATTGGAGCGACTATAGTTTACTAGCACAGTTTGCACACCACTAATCTGATAGTCTGAACTCAGAACAACGTATGTTCAAATTAATAATTTCCACAATTACGTATAAAAATGAAAGCTAGCTATGCAAAGTTGACCAAGTGTAGTGGGACAATGGACAATAAGATAAGAAGAATGACAATGTAAGCAAAATTTGATCTCACGTCAACTTACTGATTTTCGAACCTTCTAAAATTATATACAGAGTACTGAAAGCAATACATATATAATAATGTAATGTAAACTAGCTATGCAAAGTTGACTAATAATATTTTACAAATCATTTTTTTATATATGTATGTTATTTTAGATGAACTACTACAAGAGGGGGGGTGAATGGTAGTAGGTTCCAATCGCGAAACTTATGCGGAAATTAAAAACAAAACGTAAAGGAACTTAAAGCACAAAGCAAGTTTTACGAGGAAACCATCCAGTGCCTAACTGGAAGTAAAACCTCGGCCCTATTGGGACTTATAAACAAATTCCACTATAATAGGCAACTCTCCTAGTACAACCTATTACACAGACCTTTGCTTTGCAAGTTCCGCCACGGACACTTGACTCTATGATAGGACACTTCCTACCAGACCTAAGACACTTCTCAGGACCCTTTTTCTCCCTTTACCCAGGAAACTTCCTAGGTGACCCAAGACACTTCTCAGGTTCCTTTCACTCACTGTGCACTCACAGCTACCACTCGAATTTTACCAGATTTCAAACTCATACACAAGCGTGAATTTAAGAGAATTCACAATCTCACCCCAAAATACAAAACACTCAAAACCCTTTTTCCCATTACAAGATCTCATCGAATATCCCTAAATACATATCTATGAATAAAGAGATAAAACTAATATGTTGAACACTCAAGATCTGTCTGGAACTCACTAGACGTACTGTAACCAAAAACCTGATAGGAACTTTGACCAGGAGGACTGACTTAGCTTCGTGATGAAGGATAAAACCATTAAGCACGACCACTACACTTCGTCAGCCTCAACTTTGAATGAATGCATATGAGCATATTTATAGTACACTCGAATTATTCATTTCATCTTGAAAAAGATAGATTTTCTGAAAAGATAAGTTTAAAAGATATTTTCTAAAAATCAGTTTTCCGAAAATATATCTTTTTGTTAAGAATAAAAACTGTCAATAATAATAAGATAAACTTAGCATAAAATCAGATTTTATTCAAAACTTATCTTTTTGTTTAAAATACTTTTTAAACAATCTTATCTTTTTCCAAAAGGGATTTATTAGAAGATAAATATCTTTATTCAGTAAAACCAAATCCCTAAAAGATATGCACGTATAAGGTAAATATATATATCATTAAAACCGACTTTTAACGACGTTCATACTTAAGTTCCTATTAGGTTCCTGAACTCTGACAGTCTCTGAGTTCCTGACAAGTCAGTTACTCTAATTTCATTGACTGTTTGGAATTCACCTTGGTTCTATATAGACTTGTTCCAGACCGACTTTTATGTCCAACATACTTACATGAATCCTAGAGCAATATACTTCTATTTCTCTGTCTTCATGTTGCTTCTCTGAAACTCTTGTTCTGGAATCCTGTAGTCTTGATATATTCTGGATCTTAGGGTTTTCCCCAGCATTACACCGAAACCAGGTCGTTACAACCCGTTTTGAAGTTCCTGTTAAGAAACTTCTGGAAGTTCCATTTCTGGAACTCTTCTTCTAAATTTACTTGTATCCTCATGGATCCTCTAAAGTTCCTCTGTTTCAATTCCTACTTCAGCCCTCAACGCTTACTGAACCTGCAAACATCACAACACTAGAAAATCCTTATTAAATGGAAGTTTGCTCAATTCTTAACATCATCATCAAAACCTCATAAGGATCAACAAGTTGTCCCTTTTTGATGATGACGAACTGAGCAAACTTCTGAGAATAACAAAGTAAAACAGAAGGTTAGTTTTTTATTTATAAAAACAATAAAGAAAACTAAACTAAATTAAAAGACTCCTACACATACATAACCTATATATGTATAGGATACTTACCTTATGAAGCTAACATATGTAAACACATGTTTACATAGTTACCTTCATGGTCCCTTAGCCATCATCATGCTTATCAACCATAACACTTATCGTTGTTCTTGTTCCTCTATTGCTTATCCTATATTGCTCAAGTTCCTTACATATATACCTGTCATTACTCAGGTTCCTTGTATCCTGTTCCAAGCATAATTTGCTTTTTCTATGCACAACTTAACATACACGTTAGATAGATAATCATCATTAGTTTATAATCATCAAAACCTAATTGCTCAACAATTTCCCCCTTTTTGATGATGACAAACTATTGATGCTCATCACATATTAAAGGATAATCGTTGTACATTTATTCCCCCTTAGTTTTTCAAGGAAATAACATTTAAACAAGTTAAGAACATACACAAGAACTTAATAGTTAGGAACTTAGCAATACACATCATTTATCAATATATAAATACTTTCAACAATCATGATGTAATAACTTTAGACTTAATTACTGCATACCATAAGCATCATACATATTCTTCCCCCTTTTGTCATTATCAAAAAGGGTATTGTTCCACACGTTTGTTTTTCGTAAATTATATGCACTTAAAGTCATATGTCACACCTACCACCATATAATAAGTAAGTATATACTAGTTAAACACTTGTTGTTCCTAAAAGCCTCAAGGTACTCACTTTTCAAACACGGATACCATTTCCACACTAACTTCCAACTCACAATCCAAAGGCCCAACTTCAAAACCCTTAATTGAACTTGACAAATAAGAAGTTAAAATTCAAGTAAAGATCAGAGCTAAAAAGTTAGAAATGGATTGCATGAATAGACCAATTAAAGCGCAAGCTTAAAGGATATATAAAGAAGCATATGGAACAAAATAAGTAGAGGGAACGTGAAGTGGAATTTGTGCTCTTCGTTTAAACCTTTTGAGATGAGAACCGCCACATCGTACTTTATCTCAAACTCTTGAATCTCCTATTGAACACAACACATATTCATCTTGCCAATTGATAACCAAGTTCCCTTACCTTAACCACCAACTTCTTTGAGGAACATTCTCCATACTGGAACTTAAATAGATTTCAGTTTCATCATAATCAAGTTCCTTCGTCGTTTATTATTGTTCCTTCACTAGCTCACCAAGTATACGAGTACACGACATCAACATAGTCAACATTCTTCATATATAGATACCCAGGAAATTAAATATTTGATCACCCTTTTTCCTTTTCTTTCTCTTTTTTTTTATTTTTTAAAGGGTGTCATTATACAAATTTTGCATGCTTTCCTGGAATAACACATTTTAAATCAATGAAGATATTACTCACTCATACACTTGAGTTCCACAACCAGATCTGAACCATTTTGATTTCTTGGTTCCTACCTTATTCCCCCTGAGTCCCTTACCATTCTTCTTCCTTTATCTTCAACTTCCTCCTCAACATATAATCACCATTTTTTATGTTTCATCAAATCATTAAAAATCATAAAAAGATGATCAACAAACTTAGAGCACATGGGAATTAAGAATAAGAAGTAAAAGTGTGTGAACGGAAAGAGGAAATTGAATTGGGTGAATAAGAATCTTCAATTTTCTAAATATAAGACAATTAGAGTATATGCAACACAGACACACAACTTAGAGTTGTAGAATAATGTTGCGATCGAAGATATATGGTGTGGATGCTTGAAAGTTGACTAAAAGATAGGTTAGTTCCCTCTGAAATTTAAACAAGTGAGTTACAAACGGTCTGGGAACTTACCTGTCTTGTTCCACCAAAGTTTCTTCCATTGTTCCTTTGGCAACTTAGGAACTTCGTGTTTGACAGCACCCATAGTTCTATTAAGAGACCTCTAATACTATTAGGCAAGTGAGTATGTCTTTTACAACACAAGAACTAAGTGTGACACATAAACAATAAGCGCACATTCTTTACTTTATGTTTAACATGCATAGGAACCCCAACTTGACATAACTTAAGGGAAAAATACTTTATACTCATGTTATATTTCATCGAGTCTTGTTCCATTAAGCAATAAACAAGAATATGATAAGTCAAGACACAACCATAAGAGAATCAATTCACAAATTCACATATTGCATCCATACCAAAGATATATCAATCCAATTCATCTAATGCCGACATGTGAAAGGAACTTATATCTTATATAGTCTCATATCAATAAAGATGTAACTATTAATACATAGGTTGATATGATGGCTTACCTTGGAGTTCTTGAAGTGGTTATTCTGTTCCTTGATGATTTCGAATCTAATATGAACTTCCACTTCTAACACAAGTTCCATTGTCAGTGGTTAATGCTTAAAAATATATTTTCTTATCATAGATTAGCAAAAATCAATGCACAATGTCTCGTTAGTTGTACCAAAAATATAATTAATGTAAGTAAGTACAACTAATAACTCAATCCATCTTGAAAACAAAAATTGATAATTTTAAAGCTCAATTTTCAAGAAGGAACTTGGATAGCAATCTATCCTAGAGTATGTTCCACATAGACATCTATAACAAAATGTTATACAAAAGACATCCAAGACATCCATGTGGTACAACTCTAATCCCATATAAACAACAAGATAAAATAATGTTCAATTACCTTCAAGTCTAGCTACACGAGCAATAAGTTCCTTAAAAACAATACATACCTTTGTATTGGTTGTTTCCTTTAAGAACCAACCTAGCTTTGTTCCATTCACGTGCCTTACTCAACAAGCTTTTTCCAGAACACCCTTTTTGATCTCCGACCCTTTTTAGGTGTTCTAGAATAGGTTTAGAATGTAATACACACCTTCTTCCTTTTAAGCTCATCGAGTTCCTGTTGCACATCTAATCTTCAAGCTATATCCTCAAATCCTTCAATGTCGTGAGGCTCGGCCTTGGTTACATATGCATATAAGACACTTTAGTTCCATAGTTTGTTGAGATATTGCTGGTCAGA